AGCCCTGCTTCGGGTGAAATCACAAGCCCCGCTTTGAGTGAGCCTCGCTTCTCTCTCTCTTTCTCTCTCTGCCCCTTGTGGGGTTCTCTCTCTCTCTCTCTCTCTATGCCCCTGGCTTGCTTGCACTCTCTCTCTCTGTCTCTCAAAAAACAAAAAACAAAAAACAACATACACACACAAAAGAAATATGGATGCAATACTTGGCCTCAAAGCAAGAGATCAATAGATGTGTTGATTAATGTAATGAATTGATGAATAGGCAATTCACAAAATATAAATTGTCAATAACCATGTGAAAAGTATGCAATCACATGAAGGATTTCAAGGATGAATATCAAAACAAAATAGCATTTTTGCCCATCTAATTGGCTGAGATTAAAGCAAAAATCTGATAAAAGCTCATACCTACCTAAAGGAATAGTTGGCATTACAGATCAAGCACTTTGATATATGATGCAGAATTTGCAAATCTGAAACTCCAATTAATAAAAGTTTCTCCAATCTTGTACAATAATAGAAAATAACTCCTTTCAGTGTTTTTCTGGAAAGTTCTTTTCCAAAAGTAAGTATGAAAGGTCCACAGAACAAGGCATGTAGTACATGTCTTTTCTCTTTGATGGATTCAATGAAATGCCCTACTCCAATTGCATTCAGAATCTCTATTTCTAAACTGGAAGATGCAATGGCCTTTTCTTTCTGTTCCTCTTTTCCTTTTCCTCCTCTTCTCTTCCTCCTTCAACTACACTGTTGGTGGTACATTACATTATTGTTTGCAATTATCTGCAACCAACCTCCACCAAGGTTGTACATCCCCACTCTGTAAAATGCTGGAGGGGCTGTGTAGTTTGCTTTAGTCAACAAAATGAGGGAAGTGAAGTATATCACATCTGAGCAGAATCTGAGCAGTAGCTAGCCGGTAGTTTGCCACGTCTGTTTTCCTTTTCCATGAGACCAGCTACTTTCCTAAAAGTCTTCTTGGTCAGGTGTAAAGATAATGTGGTGCAGAGTCATAGCTGACTTGGATGGATATATAGTACAAGTGAAAAATACATCTTTCTTATGTAGAAATTCAAAAGGCAGAGAGATATTGTTACTATAGCATATCTCAGCCAATCCCAATAGGATTGCTAAAGAGCCTGAAATAGATTCTAAGCTCTGCCAATTACTAGCTGAGTTCATATCTGGGTCTGCTCTTCCGGTGAAACATTGGCCTTAGTTTCTATAAAATGAGATCATTAATGGTATCTAGCTCTTAGTGTCATTATGAGGATTCCAAATGAGTTATTATTAACACAGGACTTCGAATAGTGCCTAGCAAATATTAAATACTGAATTAGTGTTTGTTACATCTCTCTGTGTGTCTGTGTGTATATAGAGCAAAGTCTACGAAGATACAAAGCAAAGTAGTAACAGTGGTGTAAAAATTTTTCCTTTTGTTTAGCCATGTCTTCTAAAGACATGTATTTCTGGTGTATAAAAAATATCTATTCAAAAATGCCTAACTACTGGGGCACCTGGGTGGCTCAATCACTTCAGCTCATGTCAAGATCTCATGGTTCATGAGTGTGAGCCTGTGATGTTGGGCTTTGTGCTGACAGTGTGGAGCCTGCTTCAGATTTTGTCTCCCTATCTCTCTCTCTGCTCATTGCCCACTTGCTCTCGCTCTCTCTCTTTCTCAAAAATAAACATGAAAAAAATGCCTAACTACTTTGTATTGGGAATCTGTTTTAAAAAAATTTTTTTAAATGTTTATATATTTTTGAGAGACAGAGAGACAGAGTACGAGTGGGGAAGGGGCAGAGAGCGAGGGAGGCACAGAATCTTAAGCAGGTTCCAGGCTCTGAGCTGTCAGCACAGAGCCCGACGCGGGGCTTGAACTCATGAACTGTGAGATCATGACCTGAGCCAAAGTGGGACGTTTAACTGACTGAGCCACCCAGGCACCCCGAGAATCTGTTTTTTAAAAATTAGAACTTAAAAAAAAGTATTGGTTCCTTTTTAATGATTTAATTATATTGCTTCCACAGGAACATATCTCTAACTTTATTATGAAAGCCAATAGAAAAACATGTATATGTGGAAATTCTATTAATGGTGATTTTCTTGAACCATGGAGAGGATAACACCTGCAGTGAAAATCTTGAGAATGAGATGAAATGTTTAATTATTGTGATTCACATGCTATTTTGCATGTGTGCTCTGAAAACATTTTGGTTTCTAGTATGTCTGAAATGTCTCCCTAAATAAGATAAAATTGTTTAGTCATTAATAATTATACATCTCTATCTCTGAGCCAGGCTTGAAAGTCAATGAAAGATGATCTCTGGCTTCTAATATTACAACTGTGGGGGAGAGAGATCAGTGAGGAGCAGCTTTGCTTTTGATCGACAAGTGTAGGGGTGAAACCAGGTCACTTGCTGGGATTGTTGTCATTGCAACAACCTTCCTGCTGCCAGCATCCAACCTCTTTTATTTGCCCTGGCTGAGAAGGAGCCTTGGAAAGGATTTACACAGAAAACTCATGCCCTAAGGGCAATCATTAATACCCATATCTATGACTAGCCACAGCCATCACAGTTGGAGAATTCCACGGCTGAGAACAAGGGTGGGAAAACAGTGGAGTCACTTCCTTTTTTATTCTCCATACTTAACATATGCTCTTTGCGAGGGGGGTGCTTTGAGTCAATTGGGGTGGGTGAAGAAGACTCCTCCAGATGGTACACATTCTGTAACAGGTACCTAACTCCAGGGAAGTTAGGAAAGGCTTCCCTTGGGAGGTCAGGTCTAAGAGCAGAAGGGTGAATGAGCCTAAGGTAATGGGAGGGATAAGAGGAAGCTATTCTGAGTAGTGGCACAACACGTAAAAAACTTAGGTAACAGCATCAAAACTATCAAATAATAATAAATAAAACATCTATATTGAAAATTATAAAATATTAGTGGACATAAGTAAAGAAGATCTAAATATATGGCAAGATATATTAGGTTTATAGATTGTAAGACTCAGTATTGTTAATATGTTCATTTCCCCTAAACTGATCTAAAGATCCAGACAATACCAAAATTCTCAGCAGGCTATTTTTGTTTTAAGGAAATTGATAAGCCAATTAAAAAAAAATTATATGGAAACACAATGGATCTAGAACAACAAAACAATATGGACAATGAAAAATAAAATTGGTGGGGCGCCTGGCTGGCTCAGTCAGTAGAGGGTGCAACTCTTGATCTCTGGGTTGCAAGTTTGAGCCCCACACTGGGTATAGAGATAACTTAAAATTAAAATCTTTAAAAAAAGAGGGGCGCCTGGGTGGCGCAGTCGGTTAAGCGACCGACTTCAGCCAGGTCACGATCTCGCCGTCCGTGAGTTCGAGCCCCGCGTCGGGCTCTGGGCTGATGGCTCAGAGCCTGGAGCCTGTTTCCGATTCTGTGTCTCCCTCTCTCTCTGCCCCTCCCCCGTTCATGCTCTGTCTCTCTCTGTCCCAAAAATAAATAAACGTTGAAAAAAAAATTAAAAAAAAATAAATAAAATCTTTAAAAAAAGAAAAAGAAAACTGGTATTCAAGACTTACTATAAAGCTACAGTAATCAAAAAAATTAATGGAACAGACTAAAGACTTCATAGACTCATACGTATATATTAATTGATTTTCAACTGAGTTGCCAAGTCAATCCAATGGGAAAAGGTTTTTAAATAAATGGTGCTAAAACAAATGTATATTTCTCAAAACCTACCTACCTCTATGTGAATATTGATTTGAGATGGGTCATAGACGTAAATGTATAAAGCTAAAACCGTAACATTTCTATAAGAAAGCACAGGAAAAATCTTCATTATGCCAGAGTAGGCAAAGATTTATTATAGAAGACACAGAAAATATTAACCAGTAAAAACACTTAAATTAGGCTTCCTCAAAATTAAAACAATCATTATGAAAATGAGTAGATAAGCCACAGACTGGGAGAAACATTTTCAAAACATATATCTGACAAAGAACTCTTAACCAGAATATATAAAGCATTCTTTATAAACCATCAATAAAAAAATGACAAATGACCTAATTTTAAAGTTGAGTAAAAGACTTAAACATTAACTTTACAAATGATGCTTAATGTCACTAAGTCATCTGAGAAATGAAAATTAAAACCACAATGAAATACTATTTTATGTACACTAGAATGGTTAAAGTAAAAAAGACTGAAATATCAAATGTTATGAGGATGTGGGGAACTAGAATTTTTATACATTGCTGGTGGGAATATAAAATGGTACAACCACTTTGGAAAATTGTTTGGCAATTGGCATTCATTTATTTAATGACACAGCAATTCTACTACTAGGTATTTATCCAAGAGAAATGAAAACATATGTCCACAAAAAGACTTGTACAAAAATATTCATAGGCCTTATTTGTAATATTTTCAAAGTGAAAATAATCCAAATAAATACCAATAGGAGAATGAATAAATACATTCTGATAAATTTATATAATAGAGTATTACTTAAGAATAAGAAGAAACTATTGATATACATAACAATGTGGGTATTTCCCAAAAAATACCATGTTGGGCAAAAGCAGCCAGACACAAAAGACTACATACTAAATGATTTAATTTATATGAAAGACGAAAATAGAAAAAATAGACGGTGATAGACATCAGAAAGAGGTTGTCTGTGGGGAAGGTGAAACTGAACAGAAAGGGATGTCAGAGAGCTTTCTGGGCTGGTGGAAATACTCTATATCTTATTTCTGGTGGCAGTTGCATGGCAGTTTGTTAAAACTTCTCAAACTAGACACTTAAAATCTGTTATTTTATTGTCTGTAAACTATAACTTCATTTAAAAAAGAAAGCCCAGGATAAAAGAGCATGGTGTGTCTATAGGTAAAAATGACTAAAATACTCAGGGCTGATGATTAACTCTTTTCTTAAATTTTATCTCAGAAAACAAGAATTCATCCCTCCCTCCTCTGAGTAAATTATTCCTACATTTTAGCCCACACTGAGGAAAGAGTTTTTTATTAGAGTTCTTTTTCCTTTTGGTATGTGTCATACAGGGGTTGAAAACATCAAAATCAATGAAATAAATCTCATCTCAGATGGAATAACCTAGGACATGTAAAAGTTAAATAATTAACAGCATGTGAGAAAGGACATGCCATCTGTCTTTCAAAACTTTGGCTAGTGGAATAGGAGAATGTGAGAAGGGAGAAATACTCAAATAAGCTTCCAAATTCTGCCCTCCTCCCACCTCCAATCTATATTCAATACGTCTTACCAAGATAACGTAACTAAAAGATACGATACCTGGAAAACAAATCTTGTGACCACACATTATATTATGATATACAGAACTTAACTAATTCGTTCACTTTTCTTTTCCATGATTATTCCATAGACAAGGCATCATGTTTCTTGCAACTCATCTTTGTACCCTTAGAAGAATGTAGGCCAGGTCTTGAAAATAATGGATCCTCAATAATTATTTATAAATTTGAAACAATCGATCAATGTGTTTACTGATTAGTTAGAATTTATGTCCAAGTTACATGTTTCCATAATGGGAGATTTGCTGCAATTATTTTATGTCTTCATATAAAATGTTTGAACTAGTGATGATCTCATTTGGTAATTTATGGGAAATATATTCAAGGAAGTGTATGAAATGAGATACAAATCCAACTCACCCTAGCTTAAAAAGTTAACCATACTGTAATTGCCTGATGAGATATTTTTTTAAAATTATAGAAAAAGACCAGTTGTTAAAAATACAACCAGCCAACCAGCAAACCCCACTGAGTCTAGTTGTGGCCTCCATTTGAATATCTAAATGGTTACAAAGGCTGCAATGATTATAAAGGCTTCGATTCATTGTTTTGAATTGAACATCACATTGGCAAGATCAGAAAAGCTGTGAGCTGAGAAGGAAATTGTTATTCTAGGGATGGAACCTCCACTACCGAGTATTATTCTGTTGGCAGCTGGGACTTCAGGGGATTCTCACTATGAAAACCAGCGGTCCTTTAATCATACATTACAAGAGCATTTGTGATGCTTTGCAGGCAGCCTTTCTTCCATGATTTTCCTGCTGCTCTCCTTCCTGAGCACAATAAGTTCAAGATGGCTAATGCTGTTTTCTAGTTATGCCAAGAACCTCCTAAATGCCACTGGGCTTTCATCATGAAAACGGATGGCAAAACATCAAATGGGAATATCTCCTTCTAAATGGGGACTCCCACGATCATGTTATTTTTGGGAGAGCAGCTCTCCGGCTCCATGGATATTACTTGAACGGAGTAACCACGTTCTTCTGCAGCTCTTGCTCGATCCAGATCCACCAGGCACATGCACTGTTTTCCTGAAATACAGAAAAATGGTATCATGAGACACCCCACATCAAACAGTGCAATTTCAGTTTGTCTAAGGGACTCTACACAGTGATAAAATCCACAAGTACATGGGGAATGCTATTTGTTCCCAAGCCCCATTTGGTCTCTTTCAACTTCATTCTTGATCGGTATGGATGCAAGACAATCACATATGACATTTCACAGATTTGTGTCTGCTAATGGTTTAGAGAATGTTCACTTTTTAATATGTATTCATAAATAAATCTAAATATAGGCTACAGATCCTATTTCCCACTTTGGTTAAAAGTACACTTAAAGACCTGGTCTCTGCATTCCCTATGAAAATATACTACCTGTAATATTAAGGAAAACTAACATCTATCTTTATAATATTTGAAGTATCATGCTAACAATGAGACATCTGAAAGACATACTACATTTGAACCTGGAATTTTTAGGACAAGGAAAATGAGAAATGGAAAATATTTGCGAAAATTCTTAGTGTGTTGGTTATTTCAGGTTGAGTGTAATATAATCAATTTTCAGAACTCCTGCATCCCTGTAAAATAGTGGTATTCAATTTTCTGTGTAATCTTTGGTAAACAAAAAAGAAAACCTGCCTGGCAGGCAAAGCAGCTAATTTGTGTTCCTTTGGCCAATGCTAATTTCTATGTTAAAGGTAGGTCTGGAAATAAAAATGATTTGAAATTGAATATATTCAAAGCTATGGTTTACTTTTATTCTTTCAATTCCTCTAAATTAAATATATGAACTTCATCCTCCAAAAGGTTACTGACTATGCAGAACTTCATTCCATTTTCCCTCCTAATTATAATAATGACTGAACATTATTTTTAAATAATTTACTTGAATGTCTGCAGAAACTGCTAGACTTACACAGCTTCAGAAGTGAAGCCAGATAACTGAAATAGAGAAGTTCTATGGAAGACAGAAGAACCCTGTCTATGGAAGACAGAAGAACAGTGGAAGGTGAAATGTGTAGGTAAGAATTGGCAACAAGACACTAAGGTTTAAAATATTTATTTTGTACTTTTTCCTTAAAAGCCCCTATGCCAAAAAGGATGAGCTATGTTAGAAATGAAATGATATAAAGAGAGATGTCTTGAATTCCATTCAGGTGAAATCACCCTCTGTTCATCAACATCCGTGTGGCTGACGTTTCTCTTAAAATACTGTTTGTCCTTTAAGACATCTGTAAAGGTTCCCCCCACGCCCATCTACTCTTAAGTTTAAAATGAAACATTCTCTGTCAGAATAGATGCCCTGCATTCCTTCAGTACCCACCCTGGACTTACACTGCAGTTCATTTATCCTTGGCTTGGATCCCAGTCCAGTTAATTTTTCCTTTTCTATTACGTAGAAGAATCTCATGTTTTCACATGTTGAAGTATCTTTACAACTGATATTCAGTTGTTGGTAGTCTACCTTTTGGGGCCTGGGAAGCCTCCTAAAATGTTCATAGAACAAAAGTATGGCCCGTGCAAAGTACGGAGGCTGAAGTTTGATGGAGTCTATGACTTTGAACCTGACTTTCCCTCCCCTCATGCCAGTGATTATGCCAGATGCTACTCCTCCTGTTCAACTCCAGCAACTTCCCTTCCAGCGCTCCCTGAACATTCAAATGTACACTCGATGAACTCAAAGTGTTGGGAATAGGGAGTGGAGGAGGAGAAAAAGAGTGGGAAATGGACAGAGGTTGCATGCAGGAAAGAGGAAGAGATTTTTCCATATGTTTATGCTCCAGAGTGTGAGAAAGAGAAGGAAATCACTTCTTCCTTCAGCCTCAGGTCTCAAATGCCTCTCTCACTGTGTGTATCTTGACTTTAGAGTTTAAAGATAACTACTTCTCATACAATACAGTCCCTGGATGTAAGCTAATTACCACATCTGGTGCTCAAAGAAATAGCCATCTGTTTTCCCATATACTATGATGGCCTTCAATGTGGGGCTTTATTTTTGACTCCACTCAATCATCTCAAGCCCTAATTTTGGAATCCAGCCTTCCAGTGATGTGACTCCACAACTGGGGGGCATTGCAAAAGTGGATAGGAGCTTCATGTCTGGAATCGAATAATTTGGGTTCATAGTGTGGCTCCATCATCTACTGGACAGGCTTTTGTCCTAGTTCCTTCATCTGTAAAGTCTAAATAACAGTACATATCCCATAAGTATTTTCATTAGAATTTACTGAGATGATGGGTAAGGGCATTTAGCTCAATGCTTAAATGTGCACTGTTAGTCACTGTTGTCCATCTAAATGCGATTTCTTTTTCTAAAGCAAAGTCTTGGATAAGACTTTAAATTCATTATTTAAACTTGATATGTTATTGTAGGTCTTCCAATTCCAAGGTAATGCTTACTATTACAGATGTCAAATAAACTGGTGTATGACTAATAATACACAAGTATACATTTACCAAGAAAGAAAACGTTATCATCCTTGCTTACATATTTTTTAATGCATTAATTTTGGCATGTGTACTTGATTTTCCCATTTTTATTATTTTCCTCTGTGGCTTTTGACAGATCCTTCAGTTTGTTCATAACAGTAAGAACATAATTCTACACAATGTACAAATATTGAAAATGAATTTAAAAGTATTAATGTTAACAAAAATGGGATAAAATACTCTTACAGTTACAAAGCTCTTTTCAATATGGATTGCCTTTTCTGGGAAAAACAGACTTTAGTTCCTTGTTGATAAATGGACCAGTTTCCCCCATATAAAGCCAGTCCATTCATTCCTAGGCATATTGTATATAATCTACTTACCAGCTGCTCTGTGAAAACACATACCTATGAGCCTTCGCTGGGCTGGAAGCTGGACAGCTGTCTGATCTGCAAATCTGCACAGAATCATGTGTTCCTAAAAGATAAAGCAATAGGATGTGAGTCTATTTTATTTTTCTGCTTCAAAATTGTGAAAATTATAAAAACCACTCATTTTTAATTGAATAAAGTACTGCATACATGATACTTCTAAAAGAAACACATTTTCAGAAAATGGCAGTTAGTAACTTTTTCCCTTCAAGCAGACTGTTCCTCAGATGCAGTTCTTAGGAACAGGTGCAAGGAAAATCCTCAGGGCCATTTCACTAGTTGCTCTTAGCTCAAATATAGTTACAATTTGTGATTATCATGTGTTAAACTAAAAGACCTAAAATTCACTTGTATTTTTCCTGTAATAAAATTGAATCTCAGGAACGTGGGGCTAGGGTTAGGGTTAGGGTTAGGGTTGGGGTTAGTGGCTCCAAGAAGACAGTCTCAGTGGTTTTTCTTCCTACTAACATACTGTAGAAGATCATCACTGTCTGTGGTTTCTGTAGTTCTCTGGGATACCCAGCAAAGTGCTGGCTACTCCTACGCTTTTCTAGATTCTTCCTTTGTCCCTTTGGAGGAGAGGAGGCTGGCTCACTCTGTCTCCTCTCACTCCCAAAGGCTTCTGGGGCTGTATCAATTTCGGGTTTCAGGCCAACCATAACAATGACTTGAGAGAGTGGGAGAGAGAGTTGTTCTGATTAATTTTAGGAAAGACTGCCTTAATGCAAAAAAGAACAAGGCTGTGTAGCGACAGAGAGCTGATGAGTCTGTAAGGCACTATGAAATCTGCAAGCAGCCACAGGTGAGTGATCAGGCGGAGTGGAGATGACTTCAATGTCCCATGACAACTGTTCATTCAGAACAGCTGCAGTTTCCAAGGGTGTAAATGATCTCACCTGTCAACTTAGCAAATGGTTGAACTCCGATCCCTCTTTGTTCCCTTAGTCTTTTGTACATTCAATCGAGGCCTCCATTTTTTAATAAGGTAATTGAAGTAACTGTGTGATGTTAGGTCTTTTTGAGGGGTTACCTCTGTCTCAAATTTTATGCATTATTAAAAAAATGCTCACTATAAAATTTCGTGGCCAATGGGTAGGACACTAATAAAATGGTTCAAGTGAATAACTTTTATTAAGCAGCCATGAACTGGCATCAACAACGGGTCACAAGAAGGATTTAGGATGATGTAATTTGAAGAAAAGGCAAGAAAAAGCATGCCCTTGTCTTGATGGCATTTGAAAATTAAAAGTCATTTAATGGTGAGGCAATCATCTCAGATGGGGTTTGTTTCTCTTGTCCTTATAAGCATCACCAGATTTTACTGGAATTATTTGTGTATGTGTTCTCCCCAATAGAAGTTAAACTCTGAAAGGGGACAGCACATAGTAGGAAGTCAGTAAAGGTTTGCTGGTGAACTGAGCTGTGGAGAAAAACGCAGCCAGAGTGACTCTCAATATATAGGGGCACTAGCTGCATTTAATTCTGGCTGGCAGGCCACCCATCATGGTTAAGTCAAGAAATACTGAGGTACCATCTTGCCACAGTATCCAAGAAGCTGAGACTTCTCTCCAGAGCCTTTATACCTGAGACCCTCAAAAGGGCTGGTGGCCAAGCAGCTTTTGGGGGTGTGGGAGAAAGGGGAGACAAAGATGAACTAGGTACTAGTGAGTTTTCTGTTCTCTGGAAGAGACTGGGTGCCCTGTCTGTATTATTTAGAAATTTTGTATTCTTTTCTAGCCAGCGAGACTGTGGCACCTTGTGTCTTCACTGCCCTAGGTTTTTCCACACATCCTCTCAGTTTGCTTTAAAAAAATTTTTTTTCAACGTTTATTTATTTTTGGGACAGAGAGAGACAGAGCATGAACGGGGGAGGGGTGGAGAGAGAGGGAGACACAGAATCGGAAACAGGCTCCAGGCTCTGAGCCATCAGCCCAGAGCCCGACGCGGGGCTCAAACTCACGGACCGCGAGATCGTGACCTGGCTGAAGTCGGACGCTTAACCGACTGCGCCACCCAGGCGCCCCTCAGTTTGCTTTTAGCTATCATCCCTCAAAGATGGATTAAAAACGGGGACCTAATTTGTGTTTATTTTTCAACTCATTGTCTATTTTACTGGCAGGCTGGCAGGGCCTTGTAAGAGAAAGGTAAGGTGTTGAGTCTTATGAAAATAAAGTTCCTGGGGTCCTAATGTCTCCCTCAAAACCCTATAGTTCCCTAAGACATACAAACTTTAAATCCAATAGGGAAAGACCAGAAAAGTCTGGTTCTGGATGAAAGCATGAACACTCAAGATCCTCTCCCCTCCATAGGTATCTGTGTATGCTCAGATGTGGGGGTGGGAGGGGAAAGGAGAGGGTGGGAGACAGAGGTGAAGGAGATAAATGTGCCAAGGTGGTACAAGTAGTCCCTCACTACTTCACTGTTGGATGGAGAAGGAAAAATCTTGAAAGATGCGTGCTGGCACACAAAATGAGACTATATATTTTTATACATGTGCAAGAAGTGAACTAAGAATCTAAAGTAATTTATCAAGTTCTAATAGGATTATTTATGTGTTTCTGGCAAATTTCATCCCCATTTCTTGTATTGCATCATGCCATGTTATGGACCAATTAGTTAGCCAGTGATATTTAGAAAGCTGGAAAACTGTTTTGCTCAGAGTGGTGACTCAAAACTATGTAATGTTCTGACTACTGTTGAGAGACAATTCTCCATGGGTCTCTTGTGTTTCTTCATGCCTTCTTCGTGCCCTTGGTTCCAGACCAGGGGGTGGCAAATGGTGGCCCGCAGGCCAAATCCAGCCTATGACCTCTTCTTGTATGGCTTTCAACTTAAAAATAGTCTTTACAATTTTAAAGGATTGTCAACCACCACCAACAAAAGCAACAACAATGACCAGGACAAAGTATAATTGGTGGGAGATTATTAAGTGGCTGACAAAACCCAAAATATTTATAACTATCTGACCTTTTACAGGAAAATTTGCCTGTGTTCTAGATCCTCTTCTCAAAGATGTTTATATAGGGAGCAGCTTTGGAAACTACATACTGTCTCTCTCTGGAGCAAAGGGCTTAAAGATTAAATCTTAAGACATCTGGCTTTCTAAGCTCAGTTTTCCTCTCCCGTAATGCAACTCACTGTGTGTGAGGGTGTCACTGGGCCCTTTTTGTGCTGCCCAGTGGGAACTGGGTCTCAGGAGGTCAATGCAAAAATGATGATAGTCTGGATGCTACTCTGTGTTTCTGACTCAGAAGTCTCCTATCTGCCAGCATCCATGAAACTGTGGCAGGCTAACATGTTAGCTTGCAGGGTAAACTCTCAGACCCTTCACGAATCTTGCCACCTATTAGGACATTAATCTTGATTTGCAAAACAAAAAAAAAGCCACCCCAAAAGAAAGCAACCCCCCCACCCCGACACCGTATTAGATGTTAATGAGTAATTCTAAGGTAACTATAGATTACATATCCCATTAGAAATTTGAGAGAGGAAAAACATAAAGAAGGAATAAAAAGTATATTAGAAAGACATCTAGAAATTTTTGAGGTTACCTTGTACGATAAAGTTTTCTTGAATTGTTCACTGAAATAGAAAAGAAAAAAGAGTCATTATTTTAAATAGTAGAGAAACCAAAGATTAGGAATAGAATCATCTATATTTCTACATAGAAGAAAATATAAACAAAAATACATATTTTATCTGAGGAGTACATAATGCTATCCTAAACTAAAAACTATACCAGTTTGAAATGTCTTTAAGAAAAGCCAAAGGCATGCTATCAGTATGTTACTAATTTTAAAGAACTTTTCAAAGACTGTTTAGACTATTAGAGACACACAACCATTTTGTTTTTCTCTTTCCCACATGGGTGCACACAGATCCAGGTGTTTTCTTTTTTTTTAATGTTTATTTATTTTGAGAGAGAAGGAGAGCACACGCGCACAAGTGAGCATGTGTGCCCACTCGCACAAGCTGGGGAGGGGCAGAGAGAGAGGGAGAGGGAGACAGAGGGCCTGAAGCAGGCAGCACAGAGAGCTGGATGTGGGGCTTGAACTCACAAACCATGAGATCACGACCTGAGGTGAAGTCAGATGCTTAACTGACTGAGCCATCTAGGCGCCCCAGATTCAGGTGCTTTAAAACGTAGGGTTTACTGCTATTCAGGGGTGCTGAAGCCAACAGATGAGGGGATGATTGCCAGGGGAAAGACAGTTTTTTCCTCACAGTTCCCCAGAGGAGAAGGTATCCCACACAGGGCCACATGGGAAAGTACCAGGCTGGTTAGAAGGCAAAGGGAGTGGGATAAAATGTGGGCAGGAGCCTTTATCAGGGAATTCCACAAGAAGGGATGGCTTGAATAATGTCAGTGGCTTTGGAGATCAGGGCTGTCCCTACTTGTCTGGTACCTGACCTTGGGGTGATTAGGGGAGGGGGATAATGGCCGAGGAGTAGTTTTCCAATGACAAAAGGAGAAAGTATCAATAAATTTACAGAGATATGAAAACGTTGACGGACACTAAAGTAAGATTTTAAAATCAATTAAGTGAAACCGCAGGCTGAATAACTCAAACTAGCATTCTTAAGAATCTTTATAGTGCTAGACTTACAGATTTCTTGATGGGTTGTAAAACAAACATTTTATCTGTATAGGTTCAGAATAAAGAGACATTTCAGCTATTGCATAAACCTTAAGTTATATTTTATTATTTGCTTTTCCAAAATTCTTTGGTTTTCTCTCAACTAGTAGCAAATTGTGGTAAACAACAAAATAATGAAATACAGAAAAAAATTCAAAAAGTAAAAGAAAGCTATTTTTTTGTACTTTGTTACTTTACTCAGAGCCTATAAGTATAAATTCTGATGGAAATTTTCCAATATTTCTTAAAAGTAATCATGCAAATGATCAAGAAGGTTTTTTTTTTTTGACACATTATGGGATAGAATTTTCAAAACGAACGTATTTAATCTATTCTATCTTAAGAATGCTCAGGGGCACCTGGGTGACTCAGTCAGTGAAGTGTCTGACTTCAGCTCAGGTCATGATCTCATGGATTATGAGTTGGAGCCCCTCATGTGGCTCTCTGCTGTCAGCACAGAGCCCACTTCGGATCCTCTGTCTCCCTCACTTTCTGCCCCTCCCCTGCTTGCTCTCTAGCTCTCTCTCAAAATAAGTAAAGACATTAGCTTAAAAAAATAAAATAGGGGGGATGGGTTAAATGGACACTAAGGAGGGCACTTATTGAGATGAGCACTGGGTGTCAGAGGTAAGAAATGAATCACTGGGTTATACTCCTGAAGCTCAGAGTATACTGTATGTTACCTAACTTGGATTTAAATATAAATAATAAATAAATAAATACTATTGCTGCTACTGTAACTGGCAACAGCTCACATTTTATTGAATGCTTACTATATGCTGCTTCTAAGTGCTTTACACATAGATCATTCAATTCTTACATAAACTGTGAGGACGTTGCTGTTATGACCTCCATTTTGTAGATAGAAAACGTAAGCAAAAAGAGTTGAAGAAAAATTGCCTGAGGTGAAACAACGTGTAAAAGTCTGAGGAGCCGATTTTTGCACCCAGGCAGAAGACTTCCAGGTCCTACGCACTCAACCGCTACACCTACTGCCTCTCGCAGGTGACGAGAAGTGCCGAAGCCATCAGACTCCTAGTCGGCTCACCCTTAGACTTGCTTCTAAATGCGTTCTCTGGAGCCGGATCCAGAGAAAAGTCAAGGAGAAGCCATAGAGGAGATCGTCTTTTCCCTATATAATTTATAAATAATACCTGCCTTTGGGGAAAGACGAAATGAGCTCAAAACTGAAATTTCACTGCAGCTTCGTATCGAATGAGTTTTGTATGTTACTTTATTCCCCACGTTGGTGCCTTAGGTAGAACACTAAAATTCACCTTTTTGGAAAATTAAACTTTGAGGTGTTCTGAATGAAACCGTAACAGCAAGGGCATGTGACAAAGGCAGCCCGCGTTTTGATGCAGTGCTCAATCACCATGTCTGTTGCCACTCCGCAAGCATGCAATGCCACCTGGAAAACAAAACCAGACACAGGGACTAAGTTCTTTCTTGCCCAACAGGGCTATATTGTGCCTTCTTTTTTTTTTTTTTTTTTTTAACTTTGTTTAAAAAAATTCTTTAATGTTTTTACTTATTTATCTTTTTGAGAGAGAGAGAAACAGAGCATAAGCAGGAGAGGGGCAGAGAGAGACACACAATATAAAGCAGGCTCCAGGCTCTGAGCTGTCCGCACAGAATCTGTGGCAGGGCTCGAACTCACAGACTGAGAAATCCTCAGAGGCTTAACCCACGGAGCCACCCAGGACCCCCCCCCCCCCCCCCCTTTTTTTTTTTTTTTTTAACTTTTTGTGAGGACTGATCCTCTGAGAGTTTCAAGTTACCAGAATCTTATTCCATAATATTTTAAATAGTTCTCATTTGGACATACCAAAGGACTGGTTAATATCCATAAGAAAACTAAGCAAGAAAACTAAGCAAGGTTACAAATGGAATATTGCAAATGAAGTACAAGATTCATTCAATGGAAAATCTGCCATTATGTTAACTATGGAAAATTTATATGTATGCATGTCTAAACCTAATGCTTTTGCTGATTATGAACTTAGTTTGGTTGTAGCACTGTGGCAAGAACACTAGATTGAAATCTGAATTTCTAGTCTCAAACTGTAGTTGTCTGGGAAATCCTGGGCCATTTAAAATATAACTTCTTTGGGCTTCTGTATAAATAAGCTATGTTAACAATATTGACATATAACAATGCTGTCGCAAAAATTAAATAAAAATGTATTTGAAACACTCAAATGCTGCATGAATATAATCTAACAATGTTGTGTGAAAACTGATCAAATTATTTTTAGTAGTGCCTTTTCATATTCATATAACAGTTCTTAACATTGATGAATGCATAAAACTACTTTAAATGGGTTTATTTTAAAAGAAAGGAATAAAATTATGAATTAAAGTCTGATTAGGGCTTCAATAATTCATTTAAAAAACTTCAAAAATGATTTTGAAATGTTTTCCAAACAAACTCCTTAAATATATCTATATTGTATCACAATCTAAAATAGACATTTGTGAAATTAAGCTAAATAAAGCAAAATAGGACTTTATGAAAGAAAATCTGATATGGGGATCTTAAAAAATAAAGCATTTTGTCAGAAAAATTCTCAGATATCCATCTCACTCTGGACAGAACCAAACTGTATTGGATTATAATTATATTTTCTAAAGACAGATCTCTCAACTTCAGGGTAGGTAGGGGCTTTCAAGATGAAGAGGAGATTTTCTGGGAATTGTATCATAAGCCAGATTCCTCTCTTGAACTGGAAAACCAAAAGCAATGTTGTATTGAGAAGAGAAAAGCCAGATCTCTGTTCTCACTCCTTCTCTGGAATCTCCCCTCCCTCCAGGCTTACATTAGTTTAGAAGTCAGAAATCCCTGTGGTTGTTGTCAATCCACCTTTCCTGTTTCACTCTGAAAGTAGAGCCTGGGAAGGCTGCTGTCCAGTGAAGGCAGCAATTACAGAGGTATTGGAAGTAAAGAACCTTGATTTCTCATCTACCCCTTTTATCAGTTTTGCAGAGTAAAAATAAGACCCGTTCTTATTTTCATGAGTAGCCAGAGAAAACCTCACCATAAAAATTATAGATGTATTTTCCCCTGAAGGGAAAGAAAAGAGAAACAACACTCCCTGAATGCCCTTTATGTGGGGGCACTAGGCTGGGTGATGGCACGCAGATCCTTCTGTGCTCACGACAACCCTCCAAGATTTTATTATTTCCGTTTCTGAAGTAAGGAAACCAAGGCTCAGAGAAATTAAGAACATGCCCACAACAAAGCAGGTCCTGAGGGGCAGGATCCTGACCCCAGAGATTGAACTCATGCATTAATTACATCAGGCTGCTTCCTGACAAAACCCTCTTAAGTCTCTTAAGAAAAGTTTAGACAATTTGCTTTTATGAATCTCTCTTTATTTAGGTTCACATTTTCTTTGCTACACACAAACGAATGAATTGCTTTCCCCCATTTAAACAAAGCAACTAAACCTACAAACTATTGGGGTGCCTGGGTGGCTCTGTTGGTTAAGCATCTGACCTCAGCTCAGGTCATGATCTCATGGTTTGTGAGTTCAAGCCCTGCATTGGGCTCCATGCTGACCGCTCAGAGCCTGGAGTCTGCTTTAGATTCTGTGTCTCCTCTCTCTGCCCCTCCCCTGCTCACGCTTTGTCTGTCTCTCTCTTTCAAAATAAATAAACATTAAAAAAAAAACTAAGAACTATTTACATAATAGATTTTAGTCCTAAAAGGTTTTATGGCTTCATATGCTCCTAATTTCCATTGTTATCAAATGCAGGTCAGAAATAACAGGCAAATAATAAAGAGAGATATAGATTGATGTAACAATTTGAACATGAATATTTGTATAAAATACATTTAGCATAAAACAAAGGTGGCACTTCAGATTACTGGGGAAAAGATGGACTTTTTATTTACTTAATTTATTTTACGTTTTATTTTTGAGTAATCTCTACACCCAATGTGGGGCTAGAATTTAGCACCCTCAGGTCAAGAGTCACATGTTCCACTGACTGAGCCAGACTGACACCCCAAAGATGGACTTTTTAATAAGTGATAGTGGGTCAACCCTACAGCCATATGAAAAATAAAATTAGATCCTTTCCTCTCACCATACCTAGTACATTTCAAATGGACTGGAGATTTCAAATGCAAGACAACAATAACCATGAGTGAATTCCTCTATAACCTAGGGGAGTGGGAAATTTTACCTTTGACAAGGCAAAAATGAAAAAAAGAAATTAAATGGCACACAAAAAAAAAACCCCACACCAAAAACCACATATAAAAAGACAAATGAGAAAATGAGAAAAAAATTGGCAACTTATAGCATAAACAAAGGGTTACTATCCTTAATACGTAGGAAGCTTCTGAAAATAAAGCACAGTAATCTGATAGTAAAATGGACAAGAGATTTGGACAATTCAGAAATATGCAAATATGTCTTAAACCAAAGCTATTCAATATTGCTCAAAATAAGAGAAATAAGTATTTAAACTACATTAAGATAACACTTATCACCTATTAGAGTAGCAAAATTCTAAAATTTGATGACAGTCTATGGGCCAGGGTATATAGGAAAACACTGTCATACAATGATGGTGGGAACACAAAAATGTCAAAATCCCTTGGAGGAGGAATTTAGCAATATCCAGCAAAATTACGTGTGTAATTTGTGATCTCGCTTCTAAAAATATGTTCAAGGGATACACTGGCCAAAACATAAAAAGACTTATTCATTGAGGCAATATTGGAAATAACAACAAAATGGAAACAAGCCAATTTTCCATTGACAGAGGACTGGTAGCTTACTCTGCAGCTCTAAAGAGGAATGAAAAATATTTCTCTACATGGCCATGGTAGATACTATTAGATGAAAAATAATGTCAAAAAATTCTTGAACTATTTTCAGTAATCATCATCGGTGGTTGTATTTTTGTCTTAGAACTCAAACGTGTATATTGTGAGACAAAACAAATAAGACATCTGCTGATGTCATTACGAAACAACAAAAAGAGTTTTCAATTTTTTTTTAACGTTTATTTATTTTTGAGACAGAGAGAGACAGAGCATGAACAGGGGAGGGGCAGAGAGAGAGGGAGACACAGAATCTGAAACAGGCTCCAGGCTCTGAGCTGTCAGCACAGAGCCTGATGCAGGGCTCGAACTCACGAGCTGTGAGATCATGACCTGAGCCGAAGTCGGACGCTCAACTGACTGAGCCATCCAGGCGCCCCAACAAAAAGTTTTTTTAAGCCTAGGAGAAAGAAGAAAAAGATAGGAGATAGATAAATGAGGCTAAGTTAAAATCCCATAGTCCTGAATTTAAGTTGGACGTGTCAGTATGAAACCACAATGATTTTTTTTTTTAATTGCCTAGCTCAGACCACAGTAAAGCCTGGAAACAAAGACCAAACCAATAGCAATGACTATCCCCAGTACCTAAATTGTGGTACTCTAAATACCATGTTCCTTTAAAGGAATGTGAAGCTTCGTGGAGAAATAGTTGCTGCTGGATAGGAGGCAGGAAATGCACAAGATGAGCTGGGATGTCTTGTTATACTGAAAGCACAGACACTATCAAATTCTATTGAAGTCCTATCAAAAGGACTCAGGAGCCAACCTCAAGGGGCTCCCACCGAACAAATATGGGAATATTTGAGCATCAGTGAGAATGATAACTGCAATGGATTGAAGTATTTCAAACATGAAATTGATGAGTTAGTAATCATATTAAAAAAAAACAAAAACAAAAACCTGGTCACTTTTGGTAGATAACCAACTCACTTTGAAAACCAGAAAATACAGGGGAAGAATCTAGTTTTACCCAGCCTTTCCTATAACCAAACAGTTAATCAAGTAAATGAAGATGGAATGATAAAATTAGAAGAATGTCACCATTCTGAAATCCTTGCTGAAATAATAGGGCTAGGGGTTGATGATCTCGAACGCTGCTAACACTGTCCAAGAGAAAAACCAGACAAGTGTCTACAGATTGAACCCACTACCACCTATGCTGTAGTCTTACCCCAAAGTAAACCTGATCTGATTATGTCTTTCCAATCTAAATCTAATTTCTAGGCAATACAGGGAACAGGATACTATGTGAAACAACACCAGGGGGATATGATCAGCAAAATACAAATTGTGGGAAATTCTACAGGAGAAACGACATCACTATACAAACTTTAAGGGCGAAGAAGAGACTGGATGGTGTAGTAGGTGGAATTAGCCTCCAAAGATGTCCACATGCTAATACCTGCAACCTCTCAACATGGCAAAAAGGAGTGTTTGCAGATGTAATTAAGATTAAGAACCTTAAATGCCAAGATTTTTCTGGATTTACATGGGTGGGCTCAATAGAATCACATGAGGCCTTAAAAGTGGAGAACTTTCTCAGGTGGGAAGAGAGCTGAGACACGAGGAAAAGT